CCTGACTGGCGGAACGGGTCGGGTCGGGTCGGGCGGATCCTAACGGGCGGGTCGGGTCGGCGGGCGGGACACTAAAGTGTGGGTCACGCGCGCGTGAATCCTAACGGGCGGGTCGGGTCGGGCAGGCGGACCCTGACGGGCGGGGCGGGACGGGTCGGGTCGGGCGGAACCTAAAGGGATGGTCGGGTCGGGCAGGCGGGACACTAAAGTGTGGGGGGTCGCCGGAGCGAGCACGCGTGAACCCTAACAGGCGGTCGGGTCAGGCGGGCGAACCGGAAGGGGCGGGACGGGTCGGGTCGGGTCGGGCGGACCCTAACGAGCGGGTCGGGTCGGGCGGGCGGGACACTAAAGTGTGGGGCGCGCCGGAGCGAGCACGCGTGAACCCTAACGGGTTGGTCGGGTCGGGCGAGCGGACCCGAAGGGGCGGGACGGGTCGGGTCGGGCGGGCGGACCCTAACGGGCGGATCGGGTCGGGCAGACGGGGTACTTCAAGTGTGAGGCACGCTCGAGTGAGCACGCGTGAACCCTAACGGGCGAGTCGGGTCGGGCGCGCCGGAGCGAGCACGCGTGAACTCTGACGGGCGGGTCGGGTCGGGCAGGCGGACCCTGACGGGCGGGACGCAGGAGCGGGAGGAGGAGAGGAGGAAGAGGAGGGCGAAAACGAACCCCGGCGAAAACCATCCCGGGCGAAACACCAGCCCGGGCGAAAGCCAACCCGGGCGAAAGCCAGCCCGGGCGAAAGCCAACTCGGGCGAAGACAACCCGGGCGAAAGCCAACCCATGCGAAAGCCAACCCGGGCGAAAGCCAACCCGGGCGAAAGCCAACCGGACGAAAGCAAGCCCGGGCGAAACGAACTGGGCGAAACAAACCGGGCGAAACGAACCGGGCGAAATCCAACCCGGGCGAAAAACATCTACGCCAGCGCGGCGCGTCGCCGCGTTGCTCGGGCCCTGCCCCATCGCAGGACGACGTCGTTCCTCCAGGCGCGGTCGCCCATTGTATGAGCCGGCGCGGCTACAGAGCCAAGGAGGACAGCGATTGCACAAAAGAGCATATTGGAAGAAAGGCGATGCCTGTCAAATGAGTCGCCCACGGGCGACACCTGGTAGATGCGCGCCCCCACAGAGGCAATACGGTCTTCCTGTCAGCGTTGACTTGGGTCCAAAACGTGGGTTCCTGACAGCCGAGGAAAAAGCAACACGCACACACAGATGCTCATCGCAAGAACGAGTTGCGAGACGACACCGAAGCAGCGCGGCATGCGACAGTTAGAGCAGTATGCAAAAAAAAAAGATACGGACAGACTGGTAGCGGTCAGCGGCGAGCTTGTTTCGTCCAGGCACGCACTAGAGCAGCTTGGAACCACCCAGCAGGCTGGCCTCCGAGGAGGCAGGGCGAGCAAACGGCTAGCACTTGCCCTCCGCCATCCTGCACAGGAAGCCCAGGGCCATGCCTGCGCTCGTGCGTTTGGGGCACGGCAAGAGGCTTCAGGCAGTGCTCGAAGGTACCCTTTCCTGCCATACTACACTTCTCGCGGGCGCGGTCGCGGAGGACCACGGCCATGGCCCCGCGGTGGGCGTTGTCCATCTGGCACGGCTTGTCAATCCAAGCCTGGATCTTCCTGGCAGGTTTTTCGGGACGAGCGAGACCGATTCCTGCCGCAGGGGCGGCTGCAGGGACGGAGAGCCGCAAGACCTTGGCTGGCGGCGGCGCGCCAACGGCGACAGCCTCAGCGCTGGACGGAGCCAGACAGTCGCCCAAGCGCTTCGCCGCCAGCCAGACTGGCAGCGTCGCTTCGCCCAGGATGATGTCCTGAGCGAAGTCCTGGAGCAGCAGCTCCACGACTTCGCTCAGGACCCTAAACCCCCTGCACAAGTCGGTTGTCCGGTACGGTAAATCATGTCCATGGGAGCGGTCTCCTGCGAGGCAACTTTCTCTGGCCCGCGCGCGACGGAGCTCGATGAGACTGACGAGCACGAGAACCGTGCAGGCGACCGCTTTGACGTTGTCAATGCGACATCCGGCCGTCTCGAGGAAGAATATCGCACGACCCGTCGCGGAAGCACAAGCAGAGCTTCCTCCAAGAGACTGTTGTGGCATGCCGGGCGGTCGCTGCCTTTTTGACTTCCTGGAGCTCCGCGTCCACGGGGTGCGTCGACGAAGGAGACATGATTCTAACCAAGACGACCTTGTGTTCCATGGCATGCATTGTTCAGGAGACCTGGTCCGAATCCACCAAGCGGCCCAGCAACGCGGCCCTCCACTCTGCATGTTTTCTTAAACGTTCTGGATATCCACCAAGATCGCTGTGTGAAGTTCGCCGCACTGCCCCATCTAGGAATAGCAGTGGGGCCATCACCCTACGAACCTGGCGAGGCAAAGGTCTCGGGCGGCTCTGACCAGTACTCACGCAGGCACGACCTACACTGCCAGACAAAATGCGGGGAACCACGACGTGACGTATAGTTGCCTGCGTATGCTACTGATGTAACAAAAATGGCGACTCGTGGTGAAAGGTGCTGTTGCTTGTTATGAGTGTCCAGTAACAGGGCAAATTATGAATGAGTACTATGACTAAGGAATGTGTACGTTACTGTATGTTGTTCGTTGCTCATGTTTCTCGATGATCATGTTGCTGTCGCTGCATCGCAAATATACGTCGGTGATGCATGTAATACCGATATGGGGGTGTGCGTGTGCTCGTATGCGTGTTACGTGACTGCTGGGTGTTATTGGCATGGGTTCGACGCACGTGCATGGTGTATGGCATGGGTATGGGTGCATGTGCATGGTGTGCTGATGCTGCCAAGCAAAAATGTAAGACGTTGGCGTATGATATCGGCGTGCGACCTGGATGTATACTCATGATGTGTATTGCGCGTGTGTATCATTGATGTTTGGTTCACGTGTGTAACTGATGTCTGGTATTGGCAGGTGTGGACGGCGTGGAGTCATGACACCTGGACGGCGTGCGTGACGCCTGCCTGGTGAGGCTTGGCGAAGCGGGATGCTAAGGGACTATCGGCGATACTTCGGGCCTGGCGGCCGCGATATGCGGGGCTGGCGAAGCGTGGCACTCTGGGACCACTTGGGAGTCGTTGGGCCCAGCGGCCGCGGTATGCTTGGCTGGCGAGGCGGGACACGCAGAAACCGCTGGGGACTGCGTGGGCCTGGCGGCCGCGGTAGCGGAGAACAAGACCACTCCCCAAAACAGAAAAACACGAGGGGTGACGAGCAGCTCAGACAACACGAGGGCACCCAATCTTCAACAGCGGCCGAAAGCCCAGCGCATTCGGCGCCCGCCCCGTTTTAAGAAGCCCATAAGGAGACCTCTTGCTCCATCATCGGCGCAGCCGGCCCCGACCTCATCAGGCTTATTTTCGGCGCAGAAGTCAAGCCTCAGGCGGCCGTTCAGGACGATTCTGACATCCATCCCTTCAACGCTCTCGACGACACGCAGCTGAGCCCAGAGGGGATCCGCTCACAGAGAGAAGAAACGAGGCGCGCTCGACGGAGCCCGAGGAAGAGCGCAGCGTCGCAGGGGACTTGAAGACAGGATCAAAATGGGAGGAAGTGAGGAGGAAGGAGAGGGAAAAAGAGGAAGAGAGACGCAGGCAGAGAAAGAGAGGGAGGGAGAGGGGAGGGAGGGAGGGAGGGTAGAGAGGGAGAGACCCACAAAACTAGCCTGGCGAAGGACCCAACCCTATGCAGTTGCGAGTAACGTCGATGTGAGTATCGCCTTCGGTTGATCTCCTTACAGGGTCACGGAGCTTGTGAGGTATGTTCCGAAATGGGACTGTGCCGCCATGCGGGCGCTGTCACTGGAGCCTTCGATGGAGCTCCCCATGGGACCACGACACGTGGCATGCGGACCCTGGTGTTGGGGCATTCGGTGGAGCTCCCCATGGGGCCACGAGGCGTGTGGAGGGTGTGCCGACATGGGTCGGGGCGGCCGCATGTAGACACCAACTGGGGCCTAGCACTGCCATTGGGGCCGTCGGTGGAGCTCCGTATGGGGCCACGAAACGTGTGAGGGGTGTGCCTAAATGGGCGGGGCGGCCGCATGTGAGCACCGCCATTGGGGCCGTCGATGGAGTTCCGCATGTGGCCCCGAAACGTGTGAGGGGTGTGCCGAAATGGGTGGGGGGACCGCATATGGACGACGCCACCGGCGCCTTCGGTGGAGCTCCGCATGGTGCCTCGAAACGTGTGAGAGGTGTGACGAAATGGGCGGGGCGGCCACATGCGAACATGGCCACTGGAGCCTTAGGTGGAGCCCCCTTTATGGGGCCATGGAACGCGAGAGGGGTGTGCCGAAAGGAGTGGGGCGGTCATATACAATCATGGCCACTGGGGCCGTCTGTGGAGCTCCCCATGGGGCCACGAGACGCGTGAGGGGTGTGCCGAAATGAGCGGGGCCACATGCGAACATAGGAAACGCGTGAGTTGTGTGCCGTAATTCGGCGGGGCGATCAAAGCGAACATGGCCATTGAGGCCTTGGGTGGAGCTCCTTACGGGGCCACGAAACGCGTGAGGGGTGCGCGGCGGCCACATGCGAGCATGGCCACTGGGGCCTCAGGGGGAGCTCCTTTTGGGGCCACCGACGCTGTACTGGTTATGCCGAACTGATTCATATGCGAAGGACATTCGCAGGTGTGGGAGGAGGGAGGAGGGGGAGGAAAAAGGAACAAAGGAGTGAGTGAGACGCGGGGCGCTCTGTACAAAACGAAGACCCCACAACACAGGATGATTGGGAAAAAGAACGAACTATACAGTTCTCGAGAAACTGGAAGAGGCATCTCATTGTTTTCATGGAAGGATGGATAAGGCATCTATCGGAGAGAGGACGAGAGGTAGAAAGAGAGAGAGAGATGGAAAGAGAGAGAGAGGGGGGGACGATAGGCAGAAAGGGGGGAGGAAAGAGGAGGGAGGAGTGACGGGGCAGAGACGGATATAAGGAAAAGCATGGAAAGAGGACGACCGACGCACATCTCACTCCTTGAACCGACTGAGGTAGATGACGCTTACAATGAAGGCCGAGACGCTGAAGATGCCCTGGGGCCCCTCTCACCGTCGACATGTTCCTCCTGCTCCTCCTCCCCCTCCTCCTCCTCCTCTCGCTGCTCCTCCTGTCCCTCGTACCTCTTGACCTCCCCATCCTCCTCCGCCTCCTCGTCCTGTTCCTCCTCCTCTGCTCAACCTGCTCCTCTCGCCATGCATCCTCGCAGCTTTAACGCCGAATCAGCCGCCTCACAACTCCCCATGTCGGTTCCAAGTCCTGGCCGCCACTCCCACAGATCTGCTTCACTCTCCCTCTCCCTCGATAGCTCGCGCGCCCTAGTCGCGTTACCCTCGATTCTCGATCGTGCCCGCCCAGGTTGCATCACAAGAGTCTGCATCGTTAGCACCATCGCCATCACCAAAATCTGAATCGTCGCTGCAGTCGAGGTAAAAAGAGCGTGCACCGGTCTGCTGCTCCCTCGCGCCTTGCACCCTGGGCGGCTCACGCGATCAGAGACGATTTGATCGTGCCTCTCGCGCGAGCATGACCCGTGAGCGGCTACGCAGGGCTCAGGGATGGTGGCACAGCCGCAACATCTACAGCCCAACCAGAACTGTGCTCTGACACGTGACTAAACATGGCTTCGGCAGGGTCCACACCCCGCCACAGCGTCAGGATTGCATGGCAGAACTCTGTTTATCTAGAACGGCATTACTAGAGAGCAGAAAATCCACCCCGATAATAACCACCCCAACACGCGAAGCCGTTTAGCAAACGCGCCCAAAGAAGGAATCAAGCAGGGCAGGGCTGTTTAGTAAATGCCCAGGGCCATTGAGTAAACGCCAATTGTCCGGTCTGGGTGGTTTTTCCTCCCTTGAACTACTCCTCGCGGAAAGCCACCTCAAATAGAGCAGCAGCGATCTGCGACGCAACATGGTGATACAGCGCGTGCCATCGGTCATAAGGCGCAGGCGGGCAGGTTCAAACAAAAGATGCGCGTACGGTGAAGCCACGAAATGCGATCCAGGTGTAGCTTTGAGGTCCCGAATGTAGGAGCGATGCAATATTGAGAAGAGCTGCCAAAATCCATGTCCGTGAAGATCGAGCTTGTTTTACCAGTCCTACACACGGACACCGTGGCACCCGTGTGGACGAGAGCATAGAGCGAGCGCACTGGGAACTCAGGAAGTCGTCCGAGCAGGGGTCTGGAGAAGAACGCTGCGGACATACCTCCTCTCGTGAACAAACACGCGCCAGACTACTATATGCCAACATAAACAACGCATCGCTTAGATGCGTCCTGTACCATCCGTCCTAAGAGGGGGCCAACCCCAAACGCTAGTCTGGCCAGTACCGCAAAAAAAACATTGACGACCACAAAGCAAAACACTTCTGCTTAGAGAATGCTATCTGTAGGAAATCGGTTTCAGAAGCACCCTCACTCTCCTCGCAGTCGTGGCGGCGTAGAGTTGTCCCAACCCTCCGTGGTTGGGTATTTGTTTTGAATAGAGCACTGCTCGCGCGTCCTTCCTCCCGCCTCCTCCCTCCTCCTGCCCTCTCTTCGCCGTCGCTGGGGCTGCGATTTGCGAAACTTTCGCCACTTTCGAGGGCTGCTGGTGGGTCCAGCGGAGTGAGGCACCGCGCGGATCTGAGCGGTACCTCCCCGTCCCTGGGGGGCTGCGATCTACGAAACTGTCGCGACTTTCGAGGGGTGCTGGTGGGTCCAGCGGAGTGGGGCACCGCGCGGATCTGAGCGGGAGCTCCCCGTCCCTGGGGGGCTGCAATCTGCAGAACTGTCGCCACTTTCGAGGGCTGCTGGTGGGTCCAGCGGAGTGGGGCACCGCGCAGATCTGAGCGGGACCTCCCCGTCCATGGGGGGCTGCGATCTGCGAAACTGTCGCGGTACCTCCCCGTCCCTGAGGGCTGCGATCTGCGAAACTGTCGCCACTTTCGAAGGCTGCTGGTGGGTCCAGCGGAGTGAGGCACCGCGCGGATCTGAGCGGGACCTCCCCGTCCCTGGGGACTGCGATCTGCGAAACTGTCGCCACTTTCGAGGGCTGCTGGTGGGTCCAGCGGAGTGGGGCACCGCGCGGATCTGAGCGGGACCTCCCCGTCCCTGGGGGGCTGCGATCTGCGAAACTGTCGCCACTTTCGAGGGCTGCTGGTGGGTCCAGCGGAGTGAGGCACCGCGCGGATCTGAGCGGGACCTCCCCGTCCCTGGGGGGGCTGCGATCTACGAAACTGTCGCCACGTTCGAGAGCTGCTGGTGGGTCCAGCGGAGTGAGGCACCGCGCGGATCTGAGCGGGACCCCCCGGTCCCGGGGGGACTGCGATCTGATAAACTGTCGTCACTCTCGAGGGCTGCTGGTGGGTCCAGCGGAGAGAGGCACCGCGCAACTCTGAGCGGGACCTCCCCGTCCCTGGGGGGGTGCGATCTGCGAAACTGTCGCCACTTTCGAAGGCTGCTGGTGGGTCCAGCGAGGTGGACCACCGCGCGGATCTGAGCGGGACCTCCCCGTCCCTGGGGGGGTGCGATCTGCGAAACTGTCGCCACTTTCGAATGCCGCTGGTGGGTGTGGGTCCAACGGAGTGAGGCACCGCGCGGATCTGAGCGGGAACCCCCGGTCCCGGGGGGGACTGCGATCTGATAAACTGTCGTCACTCTCGAGGGCTGCTGGTGGGTCCAGCGGAGAGAGGCACCGCGCGGATCTGAGCGGGCCTCGCCGTCCCTGGAGCTTCGATCTGCGATCGCCACGTTCGAGGGCTGCTGGTGGGTCCAGCGGAGTGAAGCGCTGCGCGGACTTGAGCGGGACCTCCCTGTCCTTGGCGGGCTGCGATCTGCGAAATTGTCGCCACTTTCGAAGGCTGCTGGTGGGCTCACCACTTTCGAGGGCTGCTGGTGGGTCCAGCGGAGTGGGGCACCGCGCGGATCTGAGCGGGACCTCCCCGTCCCTGGGGGCTGCGATCTGCGAAACTGTCGCCACTTTCGAGGGCTGCTGGTGGGTCCAGCGGAGTGAGGCAACGCGCGGATCTGAGCGGTACCTCCCCGTCCCTGGGGGAATGCGATCTGCGAAACTGTCGCCACTTTCGAAGGCTGCTGGTGGGTCCAGCGGAGTGAGGCACTGCGCAGACCTGAGCGGGGCCTCGCCGCCCTTGGGGGCCATGTCATGTTGGTGCTGCCCCGCCGACAGGTCAAGCCCCTTGCCCACAGTCTCCATTTAGACCTTGCTCCTTCTTGAGTGACTCAGGTGTTCACTTAGTTACTCATCGTGTTGCCCTTGATTGGGGACCTGCGAACCGTCCGAATGCCTCTCGCAGAAGTAGATGCGTCCATCTCACGACGCCGCCGTCTCGTCAAATCTCCCAAGCTACTCCTGCCCCGGATTGCGCAGGGGTTGGGTACGTCGCCAGGGTAGTTAATTCGTCTGCGTTCACGTGCAGCTCCTGCACTGGGAGTCGCATCTGGGTAGAGGGGGATTGGCGTGCGCAGGATGAAGGGGTGGGTCAAGGAATGAGGGGAGGCACCCGCAAAAACGAGCAACCGTGAGAGCACCAGCATCGAGAAATATCAGCCAGCGTTGACTCCAAATATATTAGACGACCCAAATAAAGAAATCAAAGCAACCAAGCACGCTTGGAATCCGCAACTCAGCAAGCAAGCAAGCGTGCAAGCAAGCGCGCAAGCAAGCAAGCGCGCAAGCAAGCAAGCAAGCAAGCAAACGAGCAAGCGCGCAATCAGGCAAGCGCACAAGCAAGCAAGCAAGCACGCAAGCAAGCAAGCATTGGAAATAACGGGGTGTGCCATTGGCAAAAGGGGGGGCAGACGATGGTGATGCCGATGGTGCTGGCGATGATGCTAAGAGGTGGACGAGCGCTCAGAGGTGGTGCATAGGCATAGGCATTGGCATAGGCATAGGAGCGCTCAGAGGTGGTGCATAGGCATCGGCATAGGCATAGGCATAGGCGTAGGCATAGGAGTTAGTTAGGGGGGGGGCATAGGCATAGGCATAGCCATAGCCATAGAAATAAGGGGGGGGCATAGGAATAAGGTGGGGGGGCAACGGACCAATTAGTAGGGTTAGAATTAGAACTCCTATAGGGCAAGCCGATTTGGAGAACCTAACAGCTCCCGGATTCGCCTCCTCCCCCCGATGTACGGCGAGAACGTTCATTAGAACCCACTTCACCATCCCGTCAGATTGCACGTTCCCTCCCCTCATTGTGGAGTATGCTGAGGATGAACGAGCACACGTGGAGCATAGAGGTGTCGTGCACAGACCTGCCAGGCATCGCTCATGCATTGCTGACATCGCCAATCCTCCCACCTCCCGGACATCCTACATCTTCCCTCCTCCTCCTCCCGCTCCTCCTCCTTTTCCTCCTCCTCCTCCTCATCATCATCATCATCAGAATCATCATCATCAGCATCATCATCACCATCATCACCATCATCGTCATCATCCTCATCATCATCATCCCACTCCTCCGTTATCATCCCCATCTTCCCCTTGAACTGGCGTCTACTCCGTGACCGCCCCGCGTGGCCCTAAGGGAGAGGAAGCATAAACCAAGGTCATGGTGAAAGGGCGCGGGAAACACAAGTGCCCTACTGTGCAAACTGCAGAAAAAGGCGCAGGCCATGCCACGAACGAGATTTTTTTTGAAACAAGTATGGACACATGTTCGAAGCAACACCGATATCGTGAACTGCCCACTGGCTTATGGGTGAAACATGCCATATCAACGGGGAGCTCCCCATGCGCGGTAGAAAGGCCGAGGAGCGCAACTGCGAATACATCCGCTTGCAGCCACATGCCGACATGTTGCGCGATGCCAGAGCCTGCTCCCAGTGTCGTCTCCCTGGTCACCCCCGGCCTTACCCTTGCACTCCCTCACCCCCAGCAGCAATCAAGTCTGCTACAATCGTCGAGGCGGTCGCTGAAACTGTCCATGCCCCCAGACCCTCGAACTCCCCCCAAGATTCCCTCAGCGATTCTGGCGACAGGGAAGGCTGCTTGTCCTTGATTGTCTTTTTGCATTCGCCCTACCACCA